CTGATACTCGATATGAGGCGTTGCTTAATCTGAAATGATGCTTAATTAGAAGTCGCACATGTTGCGAGGCTGCTCGGTTTGTGGCTTATGTTGCCTTGGTTGGCTCGGCTTGTTGCGTTGAAGGTAAGGGAGTCTATTTTATAGAATAAGAGCTCGCTCCTCAATACATGAATGATGGGTTAGGAATGATGCTCGCGGCGAGGCGGTTGCTCAGCTGGCGGCGAATAAGGATTCGTTCCTCAATACATAAGTGATAGGCTAGAGTTGATGCTCGCGGCGAGGCGGTTGCTCAGCTGGCGGCGATGCTCTCTAATGATAGTGAGGGAGTCCCTTTTATAGAATAAGGGCTCGCTCTTCAATACATGAATAATAGGTGCTCTCTAATGATAGTGAGGGAATCCCTTTTATAGAATAAGGGCTCACTCCTCAATACATGAATGATGGGTTAGGAGTGATGCTCGCGGCAAGGCGATTGCTTAGCTGGCGGTGATGCTCTCTAATGAAGGTGATAGAGTCCCTTTAATAGAATAAGGGTTCGCTCCTCAATATATAAGTGATGGGCTAAAGTTGATGCTCGCGGTGAGGCGGTTGCTCAGCTGGCGGCGATGCTCTCTAATGATGATGCGGGAGTCCCTTTTATAGAATAAGGGTTCGCTCCTCAATACATAAGTGATGGGCTAGAGTTGATGCTCGCGGCAAGGCGATTGCTCAGCTAGCGGCAATGCTCTCTAATGATAGCGAGAGAGTCCCCTTTATAAAATAAGGGCTCGCTCCTCAATACATGAATAATGGGTGCTCTCTAATGATAGTGAGGGAGTCCCCTTTTATAAAATAAGGGTTCGCTCCTCAGTACATAAATAATGGGCTAAGTCCCCCAAGTATTTTTCATGAGGCCCAGTTGCGGAAGCCCAATATATGGTACATAGTGTAGTCCCCCCCAAGTCTTTAGTCAATAGAGTCTGTTGGCTGGAGATTTCAAATTCGATCCATGTATGGGCCGAAGTGGCGGTTGTTTGAAGGCAGTCTTTGTATATCCTGCACTGAAGCTTTGTAGGTGAAGCTTTGAAGTCGGAGCTTTGTAAATGAAGCTTTTGAAGCTAGAGCTCTGTAAATGAAGCTTTCGAAGCTGATTGACATGAGTGATGCTCATGAATATTGACATGAGTGATGCTCATGAATGTTTGACATAAATGATGCTCATGAATGTTAACATGAATGATGCTCATGAATGGTTGACATGAGTGATGCTCATGAATGTTTGACATGAATGATGCTCATGAATGTTGACATGAGTTATGCTCATGAATGTTTATGTATGATTGACATGAGTGATGCTCATGTATAATTTTGGAGTACTGGACGTACTTTTGATCACTTGGTTGGTGGTAATAGCGGCAGGCTGCCGAATAATTTTGGAGTATTGGACATAGTTTGATCACCTGGTTGGTGATAATAGCGGCAGGTTGCCGAATAATTTTAGAGTACTGGGCGTACTTTTGATCACCTGGTTAGTGATAATAGCGGTAGAGTGCCGAATAATTTAGGAGTACTGGGCGTACTTTTGATCACCTGGTTGGTGATAATAGCGACAAGGTGCCGAATAAATTTGGAGTAATGGACGTACTTTTGATCACCTGGTTGGTGATAATAGCGGGTGAACCTTAAGTGGAAGGATGGAGGTTAGAGTTTGAAGCCATAGGGCCTAGCTTTTTTTGGCATATGGGCCTTCGCCCTCCACATAACATTCTAGCCCATTATATTGGGCTTGCCCTTTTTTTTTTTTTTTGGCATGCTACCTTTTTTACACATCAATATAACTATACAATAATTGCTCTAGTTTGCAGAAAACAACTTAATAAAATGTTCATCAATGACAGTGGGTATGGATGTGCCATGTTTTCCACTTCCTTTCCTGCAACTTTCAAAACGTCAGGGTTGGCAAAGCCCATTTGCACAATTGAAGGGAATTTGAGCTTTTCCTTTTGCTTTTGCTTTTACTTTTTCTTTTCCACCGCACCTCTCTCTGTCTCTCCACCTCCAGACATACTCAACTGTAGACTTTCTTTTGCTTTTTCTTTTCCCTTTCTGCTTTTTCAAAAGATGATTTCACATGGCTACCACCCTGCAAAGAAGATGCAGGGGATGGGTCACTGAGCTTTCTGAATTATTGCTTGTCCTGCCTCACATGGTGAAACTGAGTGGAGTTTTGGTTCAAGGAGAGCCTGGGGCCTGAGTATCGGGGAAGGTCTCGGGGAGCTTGAGGAAGTGATTTAGAAGCAGCAAACTGAAAACTTGCCGCCCAACCAGAATCGCCATTCTCTCATTCAGTAGTCTGCACAACTGTCTCAAAAGGCTTTACATTCTCAAACAAACTAAGAGTTTCATGACCTTGGGAACTATCTTTACTTACAATCTGTGTGTTAGACCCAAACAGCTCTTCAGAACTACTTGAAGCACCGTCTTAGTTTCCTTCAAAGAAAAAGTTGTCGAGATTGACTCCAGCCAAATCTGGTAATTTGGGCAGATTGGGGGTCTCATTTGAGAGATCAGTCTCAATTTTCTCTTGCCTAGAGGTTTATTTTACTTTAAGATTTAAGAGATCAAACAGACTTAACTCAGCCTTCCGTGCAGTCTATCATCTGTTTAATTCATTTGCACCAATAGGTAAATTCACTATCTCCGATCCACTTAAGCTCAGGGACTGGAGTAGCCACCGGTACCCAAAAGTATCACGCAAAATTGATGGGGTAAGGAGGGAGGTCCTTGCAGGGTTCTCTGCTGCAGAAGACACAGGTCAGCGTTTGAACGCCCTTCAGCAGCCGCCCTTTGCAATGCTTGCACCTTAGGTACGGCGGGGACGGATCCAACTCCGCCAGGGTTTCTTCGACCGAAGGCAGATTGGGCAACGGCATGTCGTCTGGGTCGTAGGACGACATGTTCGTTTCAGAAAGAAGCGAGATCTGCACCTACTTTATCACATCCATCGAGATTTCCATCGCCACTTTTAGGGTTGGTGGCTGTCGATGCATGTGGTGGAAAAGCGGCTGAGGGGTTGAGGTGCTTGTTGTTGTTGAGAAGTGGATCGTGATGAGGAGGAGGATGAGGAGCCCTCGATGAGAGTGGAGTCTTTTCTTCGATGACTGATCATGATGAGGTGCGGACATAATATTATCGTGGTGGTGGATGTGGAGGAATTCCTATGTATTTTTTGCAAGAAATGGAGAAATGACAAGAGGAAAAAGAAGGAAGCAAATAGAGAGGGCGAGAGAGAGAGAGAGAGAGATATCTGGTATTGATGCATGCTGAGAGATCTCGATCTTCAGAAAAGGAAAAAGAATGAGGACTTTGAAAAAGAAAAAAGAGAATCTTTGGGGCTCTTTTATGAGCAGAAACCCAGAGAGACAGAGAAAGATAGAGGAAATGACATGGTGGCTTTGTGTTTGTGGGTGTTTTCTGGAAAAGCCCAATGAGGTTCTGAGTTTCTGCAGATTCAAGGTGGAGTGTGGTGAGGTCTCACGGTGGTGGGATGAAAAAATGAAAGAGAACCGACATAGCTTTTTGTGTCGATTCCCACAGACGGCGCCAAATGTTGATGCACAAAACCGGAGGGGTCTTGGAACAACATAAATCCGACCGTGAATCTACAAGAAAGTAAAGAACACAAGATGTATCGTGGTTCACCCCAATGTTTGGGCTACATCCACACTGATGTTGATATGTTCACTCTAAATGAGGAATATACAAGAAGACTAGAGGCAGTGTGCTCTCTAGCCTATTTTCTCTCTAGACCATTTTCCGTGGCCTAAGCCTTGCCCACAATCTTGGCCTAAACTTGTCCTCCCTTAATGAGGAGAGTGAGGAGTCCTTTTATAAAATAAGGGCTCCTCACTTATTACATATTTACCCCTTTATTTATTACATAATTACATTTGAGTCCTCCAAGTATTTATACGAGGTCTAAATGCGGAAGCTCTAAGTATGGTACAAACAATTATTATTATTATAAATCTATTTGGAAATATGTATTATACTTGCATGAATCTACACGTATAGCCTTTGCAACTTATCACAACCTTCATTTCCATTCTTGTTAGACAGCGCAGAACCCCATAGTAATCTTTGTATCCTACTTGTCATGTTTCTTTGTGACATTTGTCATTCTTTTTATCATGAGCTGCCACTTGGCTTTCCCTCTCATAACTCATTAACCATGTGTCCATTATAGGGAAGGCAGATTCTCTACCCTCCCACTTCCCTTCCCGTGCCCTCCTGTTTTTTGTGATCACGATTAAACCACGTCAACATTTTATATTATTTTTTTTATAGAGATAATAAGACAAAAATGAATAGTAATATAAAATGTTGACGTGACTTAACCGTGACCACACAAACTGGAGAGCACGAGAGGGCACGTGAAGTGGAAGGGCAAAGAACCATGCAAGGCATGCAAATTAGGTGTTTGTGCGCGTGTTTATAGGAAAATGAACCTAAGGATTCCGTAACCGTGATCGTTCATCGTACATCGTATTGTCAAAAATCATTTCAAAATTTAAAACTAAATATAAATAGTACCTAACGAAAACTGACCGTACGATGTACGATAAACGATCACGATCACGGATCCCTAGGATCCCCAAGAAAAAGATCCGGTGAGGATCCTTTAACATGTTTACACACACACACACACACTAGAAATTATGCACGCAAGTTTCTGTGGGATTAAAATTTTTATAAACAATTATGTTGGAAAAACTACCAAAATCTAGAGTGATGGGTAGACGTCTAACCTTACAACAGCGTAAAATTGAACCAACAAATGTACCCTTAACCTTGTAGAAGTGCTTAAATTGTAGGTAATAGATTTAGAATTTAGGTTTCATAAAGGTGAAAATGGTAGAACGGGAATCAAACATATTTGCAACCAATTGATTGTGTAAGAGCATCAGAGAGGGCATAGATACATATTGAATATGCTGATCTGCATCTGATTAATAAAGAAATGCAAGTATAAACAATACCAATTTTAATTTTTAACACCCCAAATGTATCCAACAAAAAAAAAACAGCCCAAATGTGTAGAATAGCATAGATTTGTACAATTAAGACATCATTTACATAAAATTCATCATAATATTTGGTAGAGAAAAAATAAAATTATTTTTTTGTTCACACTACAACACTGACACCACTAAATATTAGCGACATCCAAAGGCAGTCCCTTTCATTATGCAACCTATATTAGGGAAAAACAAAAAACTCAAATATTAGCTTGCTTTATAATAGTAGAAATTGTACTAATGAAGGCGCTTACCAAAAGGATTTACTGCTTCCGGTGGTCATAATAATTTAGGAGGCCCTTCTCTCCAGATTTTTTCAATAAATTTCATTTTTGTAGCTGGTAAGCTTGCAACTCCAAGAATTGCTCTGAAGAGAAATATACAAACAAAATCAAACTAAAACTATGTTATTGGAAGAAATTTAGAAAACACAAATACCACTACAACTCAAGGTTAAAGTCAACAGAAGCCAAATGGTAGAAATTAAAAAAATATATGGTCTTGAATCTGAGAACTTCCTCAAAATTAATAGCAATAAAATCTCATATAATTTGTCAAAAACCCAATTAGAGAAAGAAAGAGATAATTTCAAGACCTTGTAACGCTAAGGCGTCGTACAATTATAATAATATATGGTTGAAGCACCTGTTGCTCAATCAAATCTTTTGTCTGGCTAAAAAACAATAAAAATCTATAAATACATTCACGTCCAATTCATGAGAAATCATGGGAAAGCAATTGCAATTGATAACGGAATCATGAATATGAATAACTTGTCAAAAAGAAAACTTGTAGTGTGCCACGAACATCCTCCTATGATCACGATGATAGTTAAGTAGATTAAATGACGACCCATAAAGCATACAAATTCAGAAAAGGTAAGGTTTCAAAACAGCCATAAGAAAACACATAATATATAAACAGGGAATCAAAAGAAGAGAAGCGGAAAAGGAATAAAAAACCAAACAAAATTATTATGTTTGGGATATACCTTTTTCTAAAATGCCACAATCATCAATGTCAAACACAAACAATCCAAAATTTTTGAAAAATACAAATAAATGCTCAACTAAAAACGAAAGAAAACGTTGAATAAGTTTACTTGTTCTTCCCCTCATTAAACTAATACAATTGACCACTAATATTCTTGTCATCCTTTTTAGCCTGAAAAATTTAGTAGAAATACTCAATGCGGACGCTAGATGGAGACATTTAGCCTGGGAGAGGTCGCACTTGGTGCGATGGCAAGTGCCTTCGCCCATGAGCGGTAGGTCTGGTTCGAGACTTGGGAGCAGCCTCTCCATAAATGAGGGTAAGGCTAGCCGACATTCACCTCTCCCAGACCCTGCGTAAAGTAGGAGCCTTGTGCACTGGGTACGACATTTTTTACTCAATGAGGACGCTAGATGGAGACATTAATATTAGCAATGAAGAAATTGAATTGAATTGATAATTAAAATTGCAAGACCAAATGAATGCTAGCCTAATAAGTCAGAATATATAGGGCAGTAAAGAAATTATTGCCCAGTTACAATGATAGATAAGCACATATGAAACTAAACAAAATTTTCATTTCTGTCAACTCCTAAAAATAACCTATGCAATCCAAAAAATGTTGATATAAAGTCAGAGCATCAATGCCTGAAATTGGTACTTGAACCAACAACCTCCTTTGTGAATATGTTTGTTTGTTGAATGGTTTTGGTTGAAGTTGTGAAAGGAAATGTAATTTCTTAAAAGAAGGAGAAAATGCAAAGACGAATAAGTGTAAGTATTCATAATCTTTTCAATGAAGGACATGAAATGAGTGCTTCTTTAGGGGAGTTGAGTAACTCAGAAGAGTGTAGAAATTACTCTTTTTATCGTAGAATCCGGAAGGAAGAAGTGATTGTAGCTTTGAAGAAGATGAAGCATAGAAAAGCAGTAGGCCCAGACGATACCAATCGAAGTGTGGAAAATTTTGGGAGAGACAGGTATAACATGGCTCACTGACCTTTTCAATAGGATTTTGAAAACGAAGAAGATGCCAAATGAGTGGCGAACGAGCATTTTGGTGCCTATCTACAAGAATAAGGGCGATTTACAAAATTGCATGAACTATATGGGTATTAAGCTAATGAGTCATACAATGAAGCTCTGGGAGAGAGTCATTGAGCATAGATTGAGGCAAGAGACACGGGTTTCGGACAACCAATTCGGGTTCATGCCAGGGCGCTCAACCATGGAGGCAATCTATCTCTTACGAAGATTGATGGAAAGATATAGAGATGGGAAAAAGGATTTACACATGGCCTTTATAGATTTGGAAAAAACGTATGATAGGGTCCCAAAAGACATTCTTTGGAGGATTTTAGAGAAGAAAGGAGTACGAGTAGCATATATCCAAGCTATACAGGATATGTATGAAGGAGCAAAGACTGCCGTAAGAACTCATGAAGGACAAACCGAAAGCTTTCCCATAACTGTAGGATTACATCAAGGCTCATCCTTAAGTCCTTACCTTTTTGCGTTGGTAATGGATGAGTTAACAGGACATATTCAAGATGATATTCCTTGGTGTATGTTTTTCGCAGACGATATAGTGTTGATAGATGAAACTCAGGAAGGGGTAAATGCAAAGCTTAACCTTTGGAGAAAAGTGTTGGAATCTAAAGGTCTTCGCCTAAGCCGATCAAAGACAGAATATATGGAGTGCAAGTTCAGTGCAAATGGAGGCCAAAACGAGTTAGGGGTGAGGATCAGAGATCAAGAAATACCAAAGAGCGACTGTTTTCGTTACCTAGGATCTATCTTGCAAAAGAACGGAGAATTAGATGGAGATCTCAACCATAGAATACAAGCTGGATTGATGAAGTGGAAGAGTGCATCCGGCGTGTTGTGTGACCGCCGTATGCCACTGAAGCTCAAGGGAAAATTTTATAGGACGGCAATAAGGCCGGCGATGCTGTATGGCACAGAATGTTGGGCGGTGAAGCATCAACACGTACACAAAATGGGTGTAGCGGAGATGAGGATGCTTCGTTGGATGTGTGGGCACACGAGAAAGGATAAGATTAGGAATGAGGATATCCGGGGTAAAGTAGGAGTAGCCGAAATTGAAGGAAAGATGAGAGAAAATCGGTTACGGTGGTTTAGACATGTGCAAAGAAGGCCTACTGACGCTCCGATTAGAAGATGCGACTATAGGACAGAGGTTCAGGGCCGAAGGGGTAGAGGAAGACCTAGGAAAACTTTGGAAGAGACCCTAAGAAAAGACTTAGAGTACTTGGATCTAACAGATGACATGACACAGGACAGAACACAATGGCGTTCTAAGATTCATATAGCCGATCCCACTCAGTGACTTGGATTTTCCAAGTCTCCAACCGAGAAGTTTTCCTCACTCGGGAAATTAAGGGAACACTACCTCAACCTACATGCTCCACTCACAAAGCTTCAACATACAAGCTTCAACATACAAGCTTCAACAAAAGAAAATTCAAGAACTTAGCGAAGAAGGCTTTGGTGTATTTAACACAATACGTTGAAATGAAGGAAAGCTTATTTATTGATATCCCCGATTAGTTACAAATATGTACATATACTTGAGTCAAAATAAACCAACAAGAGGGAGTCTTCACAAAGGTTGCTTAGGAGAAGTCTCAGCAGTCGGTAGAGCCCCAGAAAGAGAAGGCACCGGAGGGGGATCAGTCGGAGCCTCAGTACTGGACAGAACCCTAGAAGGAGGAGGCATCAGAGGTTGATCATTTGAAGCTTCATTACGCGGTACAGCCCCAGAAGACAACAACAACAACAACAAAGCCTTTTCCCACTAAGTGGGGTCGGCTATATGAATCCTAGAACGCCATTGCGCTCAGTTTTGTGTCATGTCCTCCGTTAGATCCAAGTACTCAAGTCTTTTCTTAGGGTCTCTTCCAAAGTTTTCCTAGGTCTTCCTCTACAGCCCCAGAAGACGAAGGCAATAAATGCCTTTGGAACAAACCCACAAATCTCTGATGATCAAGTAAAACCTGACCATCAGATTCCTTCATCTGGTCAAGCTTCCTCTTCATGTTTGTAGCATAGTCATGTGCGAGCCGGTGCAACTGTTTATTCTCATGCTTGAGCCCTCTAATCTCCTGTTTGAGACTCATCACTTCAGCCGCCAATGATTCAACTTGGCGGGTTCGAGCAAATAGGCGTTGGGCCATATTAGACACAGAACCTGCACACTGAACACTGAGAGCCAGAGAATCCTTAACAGCCAACTCATCAGCCGTTTGGAAAGTAGTCTGTTATCTTTGGGAGAGAAGGTTCCTGGCCACTACCGCAGCGGTCATATCATTCTTCATCACGGAATCCCCAACGGTAAGAGGACTAGTAGGGGAGACGAAGGATGGGCGCCATATGTTGTCTGGAGAAGGCGGGGCTGCCTCTTCAACAAGGTTCAAGTCAAAACGACGGTCGGAGGGGCCAGACATTTTCAAAGGTGTTGAAGAGAGAAGAGGTCGGACAAATCAAGATCTTAGAAGTGCAAGAATAGAGCTTCTACTGGTGGATATTCAAGTGTGCTTTGAAACTTAATGTCAGCCCCTATAAAAATCTGCACTCGACGAAGCTTCAGAAATCGAAGAGGCGCATGCTCAGAAATCGAAGAGGCGTTTGCTTTCTCAAAAGCTGGGCTGCTAAGAGACCACGAGGGTCGATCTTAGAAATCGAAGAGGCGTTTGCTTTCTCAAAAGCTGGGCTGCTCAAAGACCACGAAGGCCGATCTCAGAAATCGAAGAGGCTTGCTTTCTCAAAAGCTGGGCTGCTCAGAGACCACGAGGGCCGATCTCAGAAATCGAAGAGGCACCTACTTTCCCAGCCTTGTCAGCACCTGTCACATGCACACTCAGCTTTGCAGAATTTATGGGCATTCTGTCGAAGATTTCTGGCAAAGTAGAAAGCACATGAATCGTACTGTTCAATCACCCACTTCCCACGCGCAACAATAGCTCATGGGTACCACAGATAACTTTGCCAAAGTTCTCTGACAAAGTTGAGACACGTGAAGCTTGCAGCTCCCACTACATCGCTCTGACCAAGAAGGGTAAAAGAATAGCAAAGAAACAACACTAACAATGTTTAAACACATAAATTTTGAAGGTCTAGCTACCATATTATTACCCACAAGGGTAAAGGAACAGTACCGCTACTGGATAATTGGAAAGTCCCGATGTGTCAACCTCTGTGTTTCGTGGCAAGGTAGACTAGCAAACATGCCCAACCTTTACTCACATTCGAGAAAACACTCCCAACAAGATTGCTTGCTCCAAAATCGAAGAGGCACCGTCCTCCGAATCTCGAGAGCCAGACTCCCAACATGATTACTTTCTCAAAAATCGAAGAGAGGGTAAAAGAACAGTACCACTGCTGGATAATTGGAAAGTCTCTGTGTGTCAACCTCTGTGCTTCGTGGCAAGGTAGACTAGCAAACATGCCCAACCTTTACTCACATTCGAGACAACACTCCCAACAAAATTGCTTGCTCCAAAATCGAAGAGGCACCGCCCTCCGAATCTCGAGAGCCAGACTCCCAACATGATTACTTTCTCAAAAATCGAAGAGACATCGCTCTCCGAATCTCGAGAGCCAGACCCCCAGCAGGATTGCTTTCTCAAAAATCGAAGAGGCATCGTTCTCCGAATCTCGAGAGCCAGATCCCCGACAGGATTGCTTGTTCGAAAACCGAAGAGGCACCACTTTCCCAACTTCAAGAGCTGGATCTCCTTGGATAAAGCTTGTCTGTAATCTTCACACGCAACATCAGCTTTCCAGATACCACAGACCACTTTTTCAAAGTGCTCTGACTGAGTTAAAACATGTGAAGCTGGCAGCTCCCACTACCGTGCTATGACCAAGGAGGGTAAAGGAATAACATTATTACTTGATGTTAGGGAGACTCCTATATATGTCGACCTCCATCCCCAACGGACAGGCAGACCTGCAAAAATGCTCAACCCTTCCTCTTATCTGAGAGGGCACTCCCAACGAAGCCTTTCGAAATATTCAGCTTTCTTTCCCCCCCCCGATAATACCTCTGTAAACAAGCTATACTAGAGCAAGAATATCTCATATCATCAGGGTTAAAAGCAAGAGTATCCCATATCATGCTTTTTCCCTGTCTTTTCCTTTGGCCTTGTTCTTACCTGCAAGACAATGAGAAAGAGAGCAATCAGTCAGCACTTGGAATCAAGCTTCCAGCCAAGAACTGACTGCCTGGAACCCCTTACCTGATTACTTACCTGGCATTGCTCTCGAGTACTCATCTTCAACATCTTATGCTTCCAGGGAAGATACCGCATCTGCCTGAGGAACAGATAGGGCAAGTGAAAAGGATACAAGGAAGCATGTGGAGACAAGCGTAACAGCACACGTGCCGATACATCCACTACTCTGTCAAAAGCAAAAGTATCTCATATCAGCAGGGTCGAACGTACTCTAGATTTGATGGACTTGTTTTGACCCTCAAATTCTTCAATCGGCCTTATACTCTGGAGGAAACCAGAAAACCCTCCAGCCCAGTTCAAGAATAAGCCTGTGGAAAGTTACTTCTTCAAAAGCAAAAGTATCCCATATCATCTCTTCTCATTTTTCTTCTCTTTATCCTTCATGCTGCCTGCAAGATAGGAAGAATGTGAACAATCAGCCGGAGCTCTGATTGCTTACCTTGTCTGTCACCTCTTTCAGCAGATCCCCTAGCTCGACGACTTGGGGGATTCCTACTACATGGTTTGTATCGCGCTTGACCAAGCCTGAAACTACAAGTAAGCTTCAAATGAAATTGATACATTACCTTGTGCATCTCCACCAGTTACAGATACCACCCCTGGATGGAGGAAGAGTACTTCCAGAGAAGATGCCACATCTACCTATGAGACAGATAAGGCAAGTCAAGACGATACCACACTCTGGTACTTAGAAGTTTCGTGGTTACGAGATCATTCTCCCACAATATTTCCTAATGTCATTTGTACTAAATCATTCACTTGTACTCACTAAAGGAGAGCTTGAACCTATGTACTTGTGTAAACCCTTCACAATTAATGAGAACTCCTCTATTCCCGTGACGTAGCCAATCTGGGTGAACCACGTACATCTTGTGTTTACTTTCCTATCTCTATCCATTTATATACTTATCCACACTAATGACCGGAGCAATCTAGCGAAGATCACAAAAAGTGACCGTTTTCGCTACCTAGGATCTATCTTGCAAGAGAACGGAGAATTAGATGGAGATCTCAACCATAGAATACAAGCTGGATGGATGAAGTGTAAGAGTGCATCATCCGGGCGTGTTTGTGTGACCGTCGTAGGCCACTGAAGCTCAAGGGAAAATTTTATAAGACGGCAATAAGGCCAGCGATGTTGTATGGCACAGAATGTCGGGCGGTGAAGCATCAACACGTACACAAAATGGGTGTAGCGGAGATGAGGATGCTTCGTGGGATGTATGGGCACACGAGAAATGATAAGATTGGGAATGAGGATATCCGAGGTAAAGTAGGAGTAGCCAAAATTGAAGGAAATATGAGAGAAAATCGGTTCCGGTGGTTTGGACATGTGCAAAGAAGGCCTACTGACGCTCCGGTTCGAAAATGTGACTACGGGACAGAGGTTCAGGGCCGAAGGGGTAGAGGAAGACCTAGGAAAACTTTGGAAGAGACCCTAAGAAAAGACTAGAGTACTTGGATCTAACGGAGAACATGACACAAAACCGAGCGCAATGGCGTTCTAGGATTCATATAGCCGACCCCACTTAGTGGGAAAAGGCTTTGTTGTTGTTGTTGTTGTTGTTGTATTCATACCTGAATCAAATTTACAATCTTTACCTACAAAACCAAATTAAATTTTTTAACAAAAAAGAATTAGCCTTCAATTATTAGCCTAAATATTGATTTGCAAACACAATGTAGCAAAAGAGCTATTCAATAGCTCATTTTGGATTATAGGAATTCCATTCAAAGAACTGAAAAAACATAAATGAAAATATTCAAGAACCAACCTTTTTTGGAAACCACTGGTTCTAGTCTTGTGATCTTTGATTCATTTAGAGAGAACCAAATTAATTTGAAATAAAAAGAAACCTGTTTGTTAAATCAACTCAGAATTCAAAACTAATAAAGATTGATAGTGAAAAAAGGTATTCGCACAGACATAATGCAATACACACATGTAATATACAGTTGAGTAAGATACTTTGATGCCCTGTGGATCATTAACTGTTCCCTTGAGCCACAATTTTCTTTGAATTAATATAAACCGGATAAACACAATCCATCTTTTCATATCCAAGTCTCAAATAAAAAATAAAATCCTACACAAAAATGTGACACAAAGTTAGCGATCACACTGCTTCCCTATATCAACACAAATGTATGAAAAATAACGACAAATGAAAAGAAAAAAAGTAAACACATATCTAAACACGTATCATATTTTCATTGTATATGCCATAAGTAAGACAAAGATCAATTCCAAATAAAATACTCATTGGTTAAAATTGTCTACACTACACATATGCAAATAAATTCCTGATAAATTAAGAGAAAAAAATAACAGTACGTAATATATCAATTTATGGTTGGAAGCACCTTGACAATCGGTAAAAGATCACCTCTTACAAAACTGAAAATAGAACGATTTGAACTCGAATAAAGAAGAAAAAACATAATATTGTCTTATTAGCTAAAATTATAAATTGAGTACTCCTCAAAATACCCTATGGACTTGAAAATGTCTTGAACATCAATTTGGTTGTGAATTACACCTTTTGGAATCTCTAGTAGCAGACAGATAAAATGATGCAAAAAATGAAATACCAATAAAGATCCAAAGAGCTAAAAAATTATTACCTTTGGAGAAAACAGGTGTTTGGCCACTAAGTTGCTGCAACACCTTCAAACAAAAAATAATTAATGTTCAAGATGTGAGATGGATGATGAGCATAGCAAAGGGGTACATTGGCGGCTCTTGTGAATTACACATTTTGGATGCCTCAAAATACCCGAACAACAAATATAAGTTCCTCTACTATATGATAGTAGTAGAAAATTTGTGTGAGATGGATGGTGAGGGTACCTTGGCGGCTCTCGTGAGTCGATCTGCGCTCTCATCGATGTAGATGTTGAGGACCAGCTTCTGGACCTTGATCTCCCTCATGGGATTCGCTTTCTTCTCTTCAGCAATTTCCACACCACACAAAATCCAAAGCACCATTACCAAACTTTATTAACACCCAAAAAAAACAAAGAAGCAAAACTCCCTAATTTTATGAAATCCAATCAAATCAATAAAACCTATATGATTTCATGAAGCCAAAAAAAAAATCAATCAGAGGCAGAATCATATAAACCCAGAAAGAAATTCAAACATTCCAAATTTCTGAAACAACATATGACCATAGAGATTGAGCAGAGAAGAGAAAGAGAGAGGACTCACCGTGAAATTAAAGCCGCTTAAGGAATTTTCTTTGAACCGGGACGGGATTCACGTTTTTTATTTCTTGCAAAATTGCAAAAAGAGAAAAGGGATGACATGCGGGGTTCTTTTTTTCTAGAAAGACTACTTGAGGCCAGACAGGTGAACAGCGATTTGTCCAAGCAGAAGGTGCAACAATGATAACGTGTGGGCAAGGAGTGTAAATATGTCTTTTCACTGTGTAAAAAGTGATAAAAATGGCTGATAAGATAACAGAGGAATTATAGGGCATTTTTGCCATTTTACTACTGGTGAACAGTATTTTTGTGTTGGATTTTAATATACGAAAACTAATGAAAATGGTTTGAAAATTTTGAGTTTTAATGATAAATGTATGGCACATAGAGACATTAGGGCTAAAATGCCATGTTAAGAGTCACGTGGTGAGCTACATATTATGAAGAATAACCAACATGTGAAGGGATTATGGGGCTAAGGCTTTGATATTATTATCATATTTTTTAGTGTGTGCCAAAGGCAGGCTTGACTGGCGTATTGCATATTTTACGCACTGAGCAACGGTAGATGCTGCTCACCCCGAGAAGTTTTGTTTTTGTTTTTTGTTTTTTTTTATTTATATTCGCTCCGGGTTCGTCGACCCTCGGTCCGAGGTGTGACACATCCCACTCTGATCAGCTCCAGCAGCTAAGAACAACTCTTCAATGGCAACCTCAAGCTGGAAAAAACCAGCCATGAAGCCGGTGAGAAAGGCTCCCGCAACTAAGGACAAGGAATATTGACGAAATTGCAACTACTCACACAAGACGGTGAGAAAGGCTCTCAAGCAGAGAGACAATTTCAATTCTCTCACAGCCGAACTAAAAGCAATTGGGTGAGTGAATGCGTTGGTTATTGATAATTTGATAATCGCCTAATCGGATAAACAGTCCTTGTGGTGGTAAGGTAATCGGAAAATAGTCCCTGTGGTAAAAAAAATAGGATTTAAACCCTTGTGGTGTAATCCGTTGGCAAATTTAGTCCAAAGATGATTTTTCCGTTAAATGTCCGTTAAATACGAGGGTAAAAATGTATTTTAATATGTGCACCTTTTCTTCATTATCTGTCTGCTCTCTTTGATTGTGTGAAAACTTAGGGAATTTGAGTCGTTGAGAAGGTGGCTAAGATGAATTTGAGCTCCGCCCACCCTATTGCCTCTCAAGACTGGAGGTTGCCCACCTTTGTTATATATTTTTGTATCCAAGTGGGAACAAAGATCACTGAGACAGTCGTCACTCGGACTAGGAGGAGGAGGAGCCGGGGCTCTGGAGAGTAATTGGGAAATTAAAGCAGCATAGTCTTCAACTTCACCACCACCGCCAGTGAAGAAGAAAGGACAAATTGATTTGACTTGATACCAAAAGTCCCTCTAGAGTTCTCTTCAAACCACTCCCGCCTTCCCCATAAACTCCCCAAGTTTCTGACAATATTAACCCATATCTCTTTGCATACCCCTTTCTTTTTTCTCCCTTACAATTTTATTCAATGGAAGCATCAGAGAATGCAGTGAAGGTGGCTTTGCACATTAGACCGCTTATCTACGATGAACGCCGTCAAGGTTGCAAGGAGTGTGTTGCTGTTACACTCAGAAAGCCTCAGGTGCTCTAAGTTTTGTTTCCATTGAGGAACTGTAATTTTGTAGATTGGAATTTTTTGTGTTACTAAATTTAGATATCTGGGTTGTGTAAGTGAGGTTTAGTTTAGTTTAATCTTTTTAGCATTATCAAATGAATTATTATTGTTTTGAGATTGCATCGCGATTTAATCCATGGATTTTTAGAATTTTGGGGTTGATTGGTTGTCCTTGTTTTAGAGAGAGTAGAGAAATGAGGAAGGAGACAAGGAAGAAGAATACACACGTCAAATGCAAATTTTTACCCTTGCATTTAATGGACATTTAACGGAAGAATCATCTTTGGACTAAATTTACTAACAAACTACACCACAAAAGTTTAAATCCTAATTTTTTTACCACAAGGGCTATTTTCCAATTACCTTACCACCACGAGAACTGTTTATCCGATTAGGCCTTTGATAATCGTCACCGCTGAGTCATTGCCACGTGTGTCTTCCTATCTGAGGAAGATAACTTACGTCTCCCGCAGTGAGATAACAAAGAATCACCCGCCAATAACACTGTCCTTAAGACGGAGTCAAACAATCAAACGGCTCTAAGCTGCACCATCTTCCAATAAAACTCTGCCTGTGAGATACTTTACCACCTCGCGCATAATGCTATCCTTTATAAACGGATAATCCTTAATCCCTTTTGTATATTTCGCACCTGATTAGTTCGAAATAATAGGCACTGGGAATCTCCATTTCATATCATCAGCCTCCGGAGAGAGCTCATTTCGTTCTGTAAGTTTCCTTCCATCTCTTCCCTTCTGTAATCTTATCTGCGATTTTTTTTTTATTTAATTTTTGTCCTTGATAAGTTGTCATTTTTTATTTTTGATTATTTATTTTCCTAATTTTTTGCTTTTGTTTTTTTGTTTTTTTATGAGGCTGATGATCTTTTTTGGATGTGGTAATTAGTAAAAGTGAGTGGTGATTAAGCTTTGGCTAATTTGAATTTTTGAACTTTCTGCTTTGGTGATTGAATATTTGGATGTGTTGGTGGATACCCATTTTTATATTTGTAAATTTTGATGATGGGTATTTGGGTATATCTTAAAATTGTATTTCTCTGTGTCTCTGTGTAACTTTATTTGTAATTGCTCATGAAAAGTGTGTGAATTCATTTAATGGCGGTGATCACTGATCCTTTGTGAGGTATTTTATAGCTGAGCTCTCCTCATAGAGTTCATGTTGCTGCTGAGTGTGAGAGAGAGGTATCACGTGGAATTTGATTACGGCTTTTCGCCACAATACACTTGTGATTGTGAGTGTTTATTCGGAATTTGATGTATATGATCAATTTTTGTTGTATTGCAGGGGAATATTGGCTTGAGACACTGAAAATGAGGGCTGGAAGGATTTTGTTGCTTCTTCTTTGTTTGAATGTGATTACGTTTGGAGTGGTAACGAATCTTCCTCTACCTATAATGTTTCCATATTATACATACATACATACATACATACATACATATATATAATGTTTAACAATTAATTCCAGCTAATTTTGATTTTTTTTTCTTATTATCATTGGTTTTATCTTGAACGTAGATTGCTGATTCGCCAACATGCCCTGCATCAGATCTTGGAAGTGGGTGTGGTGATTCTGATGAATGGGAAGGGGAATTTTTCCCCGGCATTCCCAAAATTAAGTATGAGGTAAAGGGTGAAAACCACTCTTATCATGATAGACCTTTCCCATTTTATATTGTTTAATTCCTAGTAGGAATAGAAAGGAATTTCTAGAATATTTTCCTCCTACTATGTTACTCTTGGCATTCTTAAGATTAACAAACTTTCAGCTAATTTGATTTGGAAGACCGATTGGATTTGAATATCTTTATTGTTTCTGTTTGGCCAAAATTTAAGAACTTTTTATTCTTATTAATTGAAGAAAGTTTTCTTTACAAAAATCTTCGTATGGAAATGTTCAACTTTCTCGATTATCTTCGCCCAAATATATGACCTAGTATTGTCCTTCTTTCAGGGCCCTTCTACCAAGAACCCCCTTGCATTCAAGTGGTATAATGCAGATGAGGAGATTCTTGGGAAAAAAATGAAGGTTGGTTGTTCTGTATAATAAAATTTGAATTATCAAGCAGTTAATGGCTTGTGACTGAAGTTTCTTCACTACATAGGATTGGATGAGGTTTAGTGTTGCATTTTGGCACACATTCCGTGGAACAGGAGGTGACCCATTTGGTGCACCTACAAAGAATTGGCCATGGGAGGATGGAACTAATTCTGTGGCTATGGCAAAGAGAAGAAGTGAGATTTTGACTGTTACTTCTACCCTCTGCATTTGGATTGATAGTTATTGAGCTCATGTAATACATATTCTTGTATAAATGATGATGCAGTGAGAGCCAACTTTGAGTTCATAAACAAGCTTGGAGTTGATAGGTGGTGTTTCCATGACAGGGATATCGCTCCTGATGGCAAAACCTTGGAGGTGATACACTTTCTAGTTTGCTTATATAAGTGTTTTAGAATGAGAAAAGCAAATTGGGAGATAGGAATTGCATTGCTCTCTCAAGGAAAGTATAAGATCATATGAAGCTGGAAATTGTTCATTGACATTGTTTTGCTTGTTGCAGGAATCTAATAAAAACTTGGATGAAGTGGTGGCCCTTGCTAAAGACCTTCAGGTAATTTTTCATCAGTATACTAGCACACAATGATACGATAAGTTGATAGAATATGTAAAGGCAATTATTTTCATGCAAATAAAAGTTTTGTTACATCGGTTTAAGATGTGACATATGCAGTCATACTTAGGCCATCTCCAACCGAAGGCTGGCAAGAGGGCTCGTTCCTCCAAGATATTAATACTTTAATAAACAGTACAGGACCATTTTTGCCTCCATTTCTATTGAGGGCCAAAGAGCCATAGGGCTCGTTTTAGCCCTGTCACAAAAAAACATCTCCAACCTAAGGCCAAAGGATCATAGATCCAAACATAATTTATTATTTAAATTTAATGTTATTTAATGCTGTTTCATGTTACTTAATTTAATTTAATGTTGTATAATGGCCAAAGAGCCATAGGTCCAAACATAATTTATTATTTAAATCTAATGTTATTTAATGTTGTTTCATATTGTTTAATGTTGTTTCATATTACTTAATTTAATTTAATGTTGTATAATGGGTTAGGAAGTTATAGGAAAAAAATAAAATTTTAGAAAAACAATTTTAAAAAATTTTGTTTAAAAAAAATAAAAAAATAAAAAAAACGACTAGCTGGCTTCAACTAGCCGTTGTATTTGAAATTTGGCCTAGCATTCCTGTCAGATATAACCGACAGGAATAATTAACAATTATGTCGGTTATATCTTACAGGAATACTAAAAAATCTGGCCCAGGCCGAGGCTGGCTGGCTGAATTGGGCCAGCCGGTTGGCCCTTTGGCCCTTTTAGATTCCATAGGGCCCACGAGCCCTCTGGCCTAGCCCTTGGTTGGAGACGGTTTTCGGGCTATTTTCAGCCCTCTGGCCCTCTGGAGCGTCAGTTGGAGATGGCCT